CAGCCCAAAACTCCATCTATTCCAGCACCCTGTCTGCCGACAGTGGCCAATACCAGACGAATATGGCAGAGGAGCAGAGAGAAACTGAAAGGCAAGTCTACGCTACAGTGCTACGTCGGCCCAGCTGTGCTCCTGCAGCATAACCGGTGACGATCAGGAAGCGCTCTCCTGTGGGCATCATTACTCCACCTCAGCAAAAAGTGTACGCTACGCGGGCAGGACAATATCTGTGTGATCAGCACAAAACTTGCCTCGCTCAGGGGGAGGGACTTTTCCACACTCTGGGGTAATGCAATTTTCATCAACTTCAGCAGCAGTGTACACGTGCCCTGAGTAGCGTCAGGTGATTTTGTAAAAACCCAACAGCCTGGGCACTCGGTGACAGGCCTATAGCACAGAGCGCGCCTTACCTGATCGGGATCATTCCTATCATAATGAGAGGAAATATCATCTTCATGTAGGGCAACGGTGACATCCCAAATCCGCAGAGGATGAGGAGCTGAAGAACCTGCAGGCCTGTGAAATAGTGGATCTTCCTCTGAGGGACTCTGCGAATGTAATGCGTTGGAGGATACGCCGTCTGTGAACGAGAGACAGAGGAGGTGTAAGACAGGCACAATGGTGGGGATAAAAAATAAAAAGTAAGCCCATCGAAGGCCCTACTTCAGGGAAACCATCACCACACAGCTATAAGGGTTCAAGTCAATAGGTAGCAAGTCCCTTCCTCTGAGTTCTCCCACAGCTGCCTCAGGTGCGGGAAGCAGCATCAAGAGTAGCTCTGTGAGCTCTCTGTACTGAGGAATGTCAAAGTATCACAGCATCTGTCCCCCTCCTGCCGCAGCAGCAGTCTCCCTGCTTCTGCGTTCCTAGTGCAGGGCACAACAGGAGCACTCCAATAGTTTGCCTGTTTGCTCCCCAAAGAGAGCACCACACTCAGCTATCAGATACTTCCTGGAGTTTTGAAAGGGGAGGGGCACATGCCAGCAGGGCAGCAGAGATCAAAACACTGAGCAGCTCCAACAGAGCAGGTATTGTGGGATACTGACAGTTCTGTCGACAAAACAAACAGCAGTCTACGCTGGCTCTTTGTCGATAATAAGGAGGGGGGAAAGAAGAAAGTCTCTCCTAGAGGTGAAGTTTTTGTCACCAAATCTGGGCATTTTTCCCAACAAAATTCACAGTGCAGTGTGTATGCTTGCACTGTTTTGTTGCCAAAAGGCAAGTTTTCCCAACACAACCTGGTAATGTAGACAAAACTTGAGTGTTTTTTCCCCACTCTTCTTTATTTATTCTGGCTGCTAGCTCTTTGGGCAGGGACTTGTCTTAGCACACTTTGGGGGCTAAAAATATATAATAAGGTTTTCTTTGAGATGACCGGGCAAAAGCTGCACAGAGGAGGAATTGTACTTTCAGTGCCACAGATTTCCTGCACACAGAGATGTTGATACACATTCAATTCAGGCAGATGTATAAGTCAATATTATTGTTTGAATTACAGTAATGCACAGATGCCTCAACCTGGACGAACAGCCTATCCTGCCAGATGCTATAGGATACAAAGGGAGACATGTCTTGGGGGTAGCTATGTTAGTCTGTATCTGCCAAAAAATCCAAAGGAGTCCTGTGGCATCTTAAAGACTAGCAGATTTATTTGGGCATAAGCTCAGTGCCACCTCACTGTTTACCCCTTTCTCTAGATCATTTATAAATAAGTTGAACAGGATTGGTCAGATCCTTGGGGGACCCCACTAGATACCTCTCTCCACTTGGAAAACTTACCTTTTATTCCTACCCTGTGTTTCCTGTCCTAACCAATTATCAATCCATGAAAGGACTGTTAAGTCTTTAAAGACAGACAGACAGTCCTTGTAACAGCAGAGAGTTTATAATCGGGGTATTTCTCACCTTCATGGGCATTAGTTTCACCCATTTTTAATAGAAAATAAATGAAGTTACTGGTTCCACGCTACCCTAAGGAATTTTCACAGGGAGCTGCATGGTATTGGCCGACAGTGGCCAATACCAAATGCCCGGGATCCCCTTGTCCACATGTATGTTGACTCCCCTCAAAGAACTCTAGTAGATTAGTAAGGCAAGATTTCCCTTTACAGAAAACGTATTCACTCTTCCCCAACAAATTATGTTCCTCTCTCTGTCTGAACATTTTCTTCTTTACTATAGTTTCAACTAATTTGCCTGGTCCTGACGTTAGATTTACTGGTCTAGAATTGCCAGGATCATCTCTGGCAATTTTTCTCTACAGTGCCACCTCACTGTTTACCCCTTTCTCTAGATCATTTATAAATAAGTTGAACAGGATTGGTCAGATCCTTGGGGGACCCCACTAGATACCTCTCTCCACTTGGAAAACTTACCTTTTATTCCTACCCTTTGTTTCCTGTTTTTTAACCATTATTAATCCATGAAAGGACCTTACCTCTTATCCCATGACAATTTACTTAACTCAGAGTCTTTGGTGAGGGACCTTGGCACCAAAGTAATAGCGGAAATCTAAGTATACTACATCCACTGGATCCCCCTTGTCCACATATTTGTTGACTCCCTCAAAGAACTCTAGCAGATTAGTAAGGCATGATTTCCCTTTACAGAAACCATGTTGACTCTGTCTGAACATTTTCTTCTTTACTATAGTTTCAACTAATTTGCCTGGTCCTGACGTTAGATTTACTGGTCTAGAATTGCCAGGATCATCTCTGGCAATTTTTCTCTAGAGCCCTTTTAAAATATTGGCGCCATATTAGCTATCTTCCAGTCATTAGATACAGAAGCTGATTTAAAGGATAGGTTACAAACCACAGTTAACTCTTGGGTGAATGCCATCTGGTCCGGTGACTTGTTACTGTTAAGTTTATCAATTATTTCAAAACCTCCTCTAATGACACTTCAGTCTGTGACAAGTCCTCAGATTTGTCACCTACAAAGGATGGGTCAGGTTTGGGAATCTTCCTAACATCCTCAGCCGTGAAAACTGAAGCAAATAATTCATTTTGTTTCTCCACAATGACTTTATCGTCTTTAAGTGCTCCTTTTGTATCTCGATTGTTCAGGGGCCCCACTTGTTGTTTAGCAGGCTTCCTGCTTCTGATGTACTTAAACATTTTGTTATTACTTTTTGAGTTTCTGGCTAGCTGTTCTTCAAACTCCTTTTTGGCTTTTCTTATTATATTTCTATACTTAATTTGACAGAGTTTATGCTCCTTTCTATTTTCCTCACTAGGATTTAACTTCCACGTTTTTAATGATGCCTTTTTATCTCTCACTGCTTCTTTTACTTGGTTGTTAAGCCGCAGTGGCACTTTTTTGGTTCTCTTACTATGAGACAGGGAGATTAGGTTTTTGAAGTACCCTTCCTGTCCGGTTTAATGGCAAGACTGTTGGGAATTCTGTGATGGCCAATCCCCTGGAATTCTTATTATGGCTACACGGACAAGACAGCTTATACAGCGCGTGCGGTATGTCGGGAGGATGGCTCAGGCCAGGAGGAGGATAAACACATACATAATCACGGACGGTTTAATGGCAATGTTTTGAAGCTTGAGTAATCAACTCATTATATGAGTTTCCTCAGGAAACAGAGTGTAAGGCGCTATTTCTTGTTCCACATCCTGTGCAGTACATTTCCAGTTCTAGTACGACTCTCTCTACCTGCTCTTTCAGCAAGAGGGCCACCCTCTCAAAGAGTTGATTCCCATCAATGGAGGTCAGGGCGATGTACAGGAAGAGGCCGTAGAGGACTGGCTTCGGGATCCACTGCAGTGGGAATGGCAGGAGCAAGAGCGAGAGCCCCACCAAGAAGTTGGCCACTAGAGTCGTCAGTCGTGTCTCCTTCACGCTCACGATCCTGTAGGGGACACACAGTGGCATGGAAACAAAGACAGTGAAGAGTAACGACAAGTCAGTACCATGCTAACCCTTGAGGCTCACTTCCAGGGGGAGCCTGTTTATGGGACATTCCAATACCACAATCATCAAGCATCTCCAGCCAAACGCTAACACTTTTAGAAGACAGAAAACCTCTTGGCCTTAGTTCAGGCATTTAGACCACTACTCACACAGAGCAGCTGGATAAAGGCCAGGGCCCGGGACCGAGTCTGTTTATTTAATTTGCACTCTCTCCTCTTGTTTAACCCTAAACTCCGTGGATCCTCGCTGAACTTCAACTAATTTAATCCTTGGCAATTTGCTAAACAGAATCACTTCACTGCAAGAGCCCCCTTTCTGCACATTACCCCTTCCCACCACTACCTGTCAGACGACACGGACACGTGCATGCATGTTATATTACACATAGACAGCCCCCCAAAAGGATGTCAGAAAGCTACTTCTGTGGAAACTAACTAGTGACCCACTTGAAACCACATTCTCCTGACTAAGTCGTCAGCATTTTGGATAAACATTAAGAATCCCCTTGTTTATACACCAGGGAAAATATTCAGAGAATGAGGCAGGGAAATTAGGAACTTAATCCTGTGGTAGAGCATGGGAGCTGCCCTGCAAATTTTCCATGAGCCATGCTAAAAATGCAAGTACTTAATGCAAATTTCCAGGAGTTGACAGATTTTAGACTGACAGACCTGTTGCTGGAAAAATATTGACAGGAAGTAAGAAAGGACACACTAACTTTAAAACACACTGCACAGCACACAGAAACATTCCCAAATGTGAAACAGAAAACCCCATGCAGCAATGTTCCCTCTAATCTTTTCCATCCAGGTGCTGAATAAATGTTATGTGCATCGAGGCCACCAGTAGAAACAAAAAAACCTAGCTGGGGGTGCTCCGCTCATCCACTGGGCGGCATCTGAATCTCTCCTCAGCGGCTGCACAAGCGCACAACTTACAGGGAACACAGCTGTACAGTAAGCCAAAAACCAAGCTAAGAAAAAGGGACATTGCTGTTGTCCTATGTTCCTACCAAAAACAGAGAAGAGGGGAAATCTCCTTTCACAGGATTATTTAAAATCGATTTATTTGTAATTTTGTTTCTTTATAGGGAAACTAAAACCCAAGTCCGGATGTTAACTGCTGGCTAAGGCCTGCCTAAGTCAGCGC